TCTTTGATTTCAACAGATCATGAGTGCCACGTTAGATTAAAGACTTTAACGCACGTCTTAGACGGACCGGAACCCCAGGGACCATTATTCATTTTGCGGGCCAATTATTAACTTCCGGCCCTACTCTGAACGTGTATTTACCTCTTAGATAAAAGTATTTAGCATTCTTCATAATAACATGAAATTACTCAGAGGTGAAGTGAAGCGTTCAAACACGACAAGTATGTGGTTTGAGCCCACCTAGTTCCCATTTTTTGTTCCATACTGCGATACATTCTTAGAAAAACGTTGAAAATCTCTAAGTAAATTTGCGACAGTGACAGCGTCACGGACATTGAAACCTTACTGCTATGACATGTTTGAAATGATTTTGTATGGATGTAACATGTCAAAGTAAATACAATTATTTAGATAGAACTAGAACTATCGCTGAATGCGATTCTTACCCCCACCTATCTACTTGACAGAATACGACTAGGAAAGGTGGTTAAAGGAATAATTTAAGTGGCACAAATACATATACATAAAAAGAAATTATTTCTGGTGAAAAAAATACAAATTGTACAGGTAATAGTATAAATATATATTGTCAAATCATGTTTAAACAGTAACAAATAACCTTTCATTTTCCCAATGTACTAGAACAAACAAAAGCAGTGAAGTTAAGAAAATAGCATAACTATGTCAACATGTAATTAAGAGTGGAAAAACTTTGCATACTGAGCTTACTTGTGACCCTTGTTAAAAAATTTATTTATTTTATTAATTTTGTTTTATTTATGTTTATTTTTTTGACAGTCTAACCAGACGCTTGTGACAATTATGTAATACATGTTTACAGGGGATCTAGAAGAATAAAAATAAATAAATAAACAAGAGCCATGTCAAAATGGCCATCCCCCGCCGAATGTGTTTGTTCATTGGAAGACTGTATATGTAGTAGAGCAGAATAATTCCATTTTAAGAGGTATTTTGGTAATGAAAACTGATGGCTATAGTGATTACAGATTTGAAACCTATGTGAATACTGATGGCTGAAAATAACAAAGGGCAATAACTGAAAAATAATGCAGGGTAAGTTATCATTCTTGTGTGCTGCATCCCTCCTCAGTAAAATCAATCCACCTATTAAGTTTCAAGTTGATACCTCAAATACTTTTTGAGAAAAAAAATTGAATTGAAAAATTAAGTATGAAAAATAACAAAGGGCAATAACTCAAAAATTATAAAAGGTAGAGTTATCATTCTTGTGCACTGCACACCTCCTGAGTTAGATCTATGCACCTATGAAGTTTCATAATGATACATCAAAGGCCTTTTGAGTTATGCTCTGGACAAAGTTAATTTTGAAAAATAACAAAGGGCAATAACTAAACAATTATGCAGGATAGAGTTATCGTTCTTGTGCACTGCACTCTTCCTCAATGAGATCCATCCACCTATGAAGTTTCAAGTTGATACCTGAAATACTTTTTGAGATAAGCTCCGGAAAAAAAATAGTATGAAAAAGAACAAAGGGCAATAACTCAAAAATTATGAAAGGTAGAGTTATCATTCTTGTGCACTGCACACCTCCTGAGTAAGATATATGCACCTATGAAGTTTCATGTTAATATCTCAAAGGCTTTTTGAGTTATGCTCTGGACAAAAATCAATTTTGAAAAATAACAAAGGGCAATAACTCAAAAATTATGCAGGGTAGAGTTATCATTCTTGTGCACTGCACTCCTCCTCAATGAGATCCATCCACCTATGAAGTTTCAAGTTGATACCTGAAATACTTTTTGAGATAAGCTCCGGACAAAATAGTATGGAAAAGAACAAAGGGCAAGAGTTATCATTCTTGCGCACAGCATTCCTCCTGAATAAGATCTATCCACCTATGACACTTCATGTTGATATCTCAAACACTTTTTGAGTTATGCTCCACTCGGGTGAAAAATTAGGTATGAAAAGTAACAAAGGGCAATAACTCAAAAATTGTATAGGGAAGAGTTATCATTCTTGTGCACAGCATTCCTCCTCAATAAGATCTATCCACCTATGACATTTCATGTTGACAACTCAAACACTTCTGAGTTATGCTCCACTCGGGTGAAAAATTAGGTATGAAAAGTAACATAGGGCAATAACTCAAAAATTATGAAAGGTAGAGTTATCATTCTTGTGCACTGCACACCTCCTGAGTAAGATCAGATCTATGCACCTATGAAGTTTCATGTTGATATCTCAAAGGCTTTTTGAGTTATGCTCTGGACAAAAATCAATTTTGAAAAATAACAAAGGGCAATAACTCAAAATTTATGCAGGGTAGAGTTATCATTCTTGTGCACTGCACTCCTCCTCAATGAGATCCATCCACCTATGAAGTTTCAAGTTGATACCTCAAATACTTTATGAGATAAGCTCCGGACAAAATAGTATGGAAAAGAACAAAGGGCAAGAGTTATCATTCTTGTGCACAGCATTCCTCCTCAATAAGATCTATCCACCTAGACATCTCAAACACTTCTGAGTTATGCTCCACTCGGGTGAAAAATTAGGTATGAAAAGTAACATAGGGCAATAACTCAAAAATTATGAAAGGTAGAGTTATCATTCTTGTGCACTGCACACCTCCTGAGTGAGATCTATGCACCTATGAAAGTTCATGTTGATATCTCAAAGGCTTTTTGAGTTATGCTCTGGACAAAAATCAATTTTGAAAAATAACAAAGGGCAATAACTCAAAAATTATGCAGGGTAGAGTTATCATTCTTGTGCACTGCACTCCTCCTCAATGAGATCCATCCACCTATGAAGTTTCAAGTTGATACCTGAAATACTTTATGAGATAAGCTCCGGACAAAATAGTATGGAAAAGAACAAAGGGCAAGAGTTATCATTCTTGCGCACAGCATTCCTCCTCAATAAGATCTATCCACCTATGACATTTCATGTTGATATCTCAAAGGCTTTTTAAGTTATGCTCCACTCAGGTGAAAAATTAAGTATGAAAAATAACATAGGACAATAACTCAAGAATTATAAAATGAGAGTTATCATTCTTGTACACTGCACGCCTCCTGAGTGAGATCTATGCACCTATGAAGTTTCATGTTGATATCTCAAAGGCTTTTTGAGTTATGCTCTGGACAAAAATCAATTTTGAAAAATAACAAAGGGCAATAACTCAAAAATTATGCAGGGTAGAGTTATCATTCTTGTGCACATCACGCCTCCTTAATGAGGTCTATCCACCTATGAAGTTTCAAGTTGATAACCCAAATACTTTTATAGATATGCTCCGGACAAAAATGTCGGACGGACGGAGACTATTACTATATCCCCCGCCGCCTTTTCGGCGGGGGGATAATAAAGTAAATGCAAGGATATCCAAGTCTAGTGCGTGCAATCACCGGATAATTATTTTAAATGGAAAGGTTAATATTTTCTGACAAAAAATGCATTTCATGTTTATATAGCAGATAAGATAAATATTTTTATTTATCATATACATGTTCCTATATAATCAGTTTTATAAGAATACCAAAATGATAGATTCCTTTTGGATTTATCAATATTTGATCATCACTCGCGTATAAGCTTGAACGCTTATTATATGTTTAATTTATGAGGCTTCAATCTGCCTAACTTATTTTTTACATTGTTATTGGTCTGTTAGCTCAAGTTATACTAGGAAAGTAACTGATTAGATTGCATGATGTATAACATTTTGTGAATTTTTTATTTGAACTGAATTCAAATTAAAATAATTATCAAAGTGAGTAGAAAGTTTTGTGTAGTATATATTGATGAAATACTTTACGCATCATATAACGTTCAAAACAAAATATCACGACATTTATATTAAAGAAAAGTCATTGTTCAATTACGACTGCTGTACAGTAAATTTTTCTTTCTTTTTCTTAAAAAAAAATGTCATTTCTTTTTCAACAGAAGACGTATTCCATAAATTGCAAACAGTCCTTCTCGGTAGATTTACTGTATTATTTTTGTAGGAGAATTTCAATGCTAAATAAAATAGGATCACGTGGATCAAGTTATACTGTGTACAAATATAATATTGTTAAGTTAATGTTTAGCGCATAACATGATATCGATTTCTACTGCGATCAGGTTATTCTTTTGTTAAGCATATTTGCACATGGTTCGGTTTATTTAAATTATCATTCAAATATTTGTATTCTATACCCATTGTGTTTGAACTTTATAAATCCATATATTGTACTTGTACATTAACATATTGAATTAAATTTATCATGTAATCCATCATTTTAACCATACGATACAATATACGTATATCGTATTTAATCCTGAAAATAATGATTATAATATATATTTCTCTGTGTGATGTGCTAGTTAAATTAAAGTTTAAAAAAATCGATATATATCATATATAAAAATCATATATAGAGGATATTTGTTTGTTTTGCATCTAAGATTGAAAAATATTTCACTGAGTGAACACCAGATGCAATATTTTCACGAGTGATGTACCCACGAGTGAAAATATAATAGCTGGTGTTCACGAATGAAATATATTTCAATCTTATATGTGAAACAAATATTTTTTTTTTTATTTTATGCCTTTTGAAGTGATTTTAAGTATTTTTACTGTTTTTTTGCCGCGTAACGTCGCGCTTTCTCTTTGTGGCACCATCATATCATGACGTCACATCATCAATTTTGAAATATAGTTCTGTTAAATTTCTCTTATTTTGTTACATTTTTAACATGATGTATGATAACATCGACTTTCATTTCCTAAAGAAGCAAAATTTTCGTATGACGGCATTTATTTTTGCCTGTTATTACATTTAGTTATGATATTCTTTTCATCTGCATTCAGATAAAGTTCGGCTACAGTGAAAATTATATTTTATAAATTTCACTAATGGTTTATCCGAATATAATCATCTGATATATTACAGTAAAAATACTTGAAAGCATAAAATAAAAGCGATATATAATCAAGAATAATTATATTAAATACTTACTGTAGACCGGTGACGAAAAACTTTTCAGTGATGTAATCCCTGCAATTAGAATTTTCAAAGGATAGATAAAACTTGTAGTCTGTATTGAGCATTTCAAAACACTTTTTATTCTTTCTAGGACATTGTATCGTACCACAGTGACCATATATATCAACAGATATGTATTTTTGTAGTTCTTTTGCATATTCCCTTCGAGTATTTCTAGCACCACAATTAGATACAAACCATGCCACTTGTTTTGTCTTTCCAGCGGCGTAACTCTTATTTTGTATAAGATATTTTACGTTGTCGTCATATGGCACGAATTTTTCGTATGGAGCAACAATATCCGAGTCATGTCTGTAGGTAGCAGTCCAGTTAAAAACTTCACTGAAAGCGCTTAAACCAGGTGTGTGGTAAGGTGACTCAAGCATAAATAAAATCCAAATTTGACTGAAAGGTCTTTTAGTCCACGGTCTATGGGGGCTAGCATTAAATAAAACAGCGTCAGCAGTGTCCGCTGCACCACGTTGATCTATCAAATCACATGTGTTGAAATTGCACTTTTGATCCAAAAAAGTTTGCCGGCCTCTCTTTACTTGCCATCCACCGAATCCTGTATAAAGCAAAATCTTTTTTAAAGGTGGATCCGTTTTATTCTTCCAAATGTGTTTAAGTTTTAATTGATTCACTATTCTATCATTGTCATACTGATCAGTATCCGGCCACAAGACTTTAGGTTTGATTGAATGCGAGACGTCAAACTTAAGAGGTGCTGCGGTAAGGTTCCATTCTCTAGACTTATCCGTTGTTACATAATGCTTCATATTTAAATAATGTTTGTCTACAACATCTATGTAGTCAAACGCTTGACCCCATTGCCGAGCTCCATGTCCCGGCATCGCTAGGGGGCCATTGTAAAAGTTAAACAAAACTAGTACTATACAGCACACAATAGAAAGAGTCCATGTTACCGTTTTCTTAAGGTGAAATCGCATTTTGTTTCAAAATTGTTGAGTATATTGTTAGTCCTCTATGTTTGCATGTTTAACCACTCTTAAAAGAAAATTCCAGCTATTTCATATTTGACATTTGACACCACGATTTGTAATTAATTATGTTTATGGATAATGTAGAGTCGTGTTTCGAACAATTCTAAATGCCTTGTTTATCCCTTTATAATCTTGCATTGTATATATACTAGTCCCGGTTTATTTTCATTCTTGTACATGAACAATCTCATCAGACAAATCTGAAATTATAAAACATGACGTTAATACATATATGTTAAAAGAATTGCTTCATAAATTATTAAAATATCCATTCAGCTTAGAATTCGGCTGACGATATTTCAGTTAGATATAAAATTTAAACATTTTTTACACTTTGTTCTGATAATTTTATAAAAAGAAAGTACAATTCATCATTTTGATAATAGAATACAATAAGATTATATAACATACTATCTAAATCACTATCCGTCTACAGTCTAACTTTAATAAAGTTCCCAGAGCTGAATAGACGAACACAGACTATAAACCCGTGTAGTTTACAACAGTACTGTAGGGTGACACCTATGTATTGATTTTAGTCTCAAGTTTAAAGACATTTTTTAAACGTAAAATACGTCTTAAAAGGATTGAATATTTATGTTTATTATTGAACCCGCTATTTCAGTTATTAGTAAACATTTCAAGTTGTGACGTGCATCTTGTCATTGACATTTTTTTTCACAGTTCATCAAAAATATAATGAATTACTAAAAAATAAATTTTCTACACATATCAAACGCGTATTATTTGTTTTGTTAGAGGATATAAAATAACAACAAAAATTTATTGTTCAATGTTCCTACTATACCAACCGAGCGAGGGTTAAGTATATTTACAATAATGAGCTAGCTAATAAGGACCTAGCGATTGTTTAGTGTTTCTGCAATAAGGACCTAGATAGGGTTAAATATTTTCACAGGGTTAAGTATATTTACAATAAGGATCTATCTAGGGTTCAATGTTTCTACAATAAGAACCTAGCTAGCGTCAGGTGTTTCAACAATAAGGTCCTAGCTGGATTTAAGTATTTTCACAATAAAGACCGTTCGAGGGTTCTGTGTCACAGGGTAGAATAATAACCAACTCCTGGCGTATGTTCAAATTTAATGAATATAATATGAAGAAAAAGACTAAAAATAAAAATACATGATTATAATACAAACTAGAACTATCGCTGAATGCGATTCATACCCCCACTAATGTCCTTGACAGAAGACGACTTGGAAAGGTGGTTAAGGGAATAACTTTAGTGGCACAAATACATATACTTAAAAAGAAATTATCTCTGGTGGAAAAAAGACTAATTGTACAGGTAATAGTATAAATATATATTGTCAAATCATGTTCGAAACAGTTACAAATAACCTTTCATTTTCCCAATGTACTAAACATTTTCTAAGTCAATTTTTGACCTTCAAGTGTGGCCTTGACCTTAAGCTGGCACAAGGGTAAGATGGGTTCCGCACATTGCCCAGTTGGAGTGAACTTTTGAGTAAAGTTTGATTAAAACCCTTCCATTAGTATAGAATTTATAGAGCGGACACGACATATTGTCTAGTATTGAGTGTATGTAAATTTCAAATACTTAAAAAGGGGCATAACTTTGTCAAATGCAATACAGAGTTATGAAACTTGACCTGCATATCTTATTTGTGACACCTCATATATATTTTAAGTTTCAAGCAAATACATGTGCTAGTTTCAGAAATATTCAAGTACATGTTAAAATTTAAGAACATTTTCTAAGTCAATTTTTGACCTTCAAGTGTGACATTGACCTTTAGCCGGCACAAAGCTAACATGGATTCTGCACATAGCCTTGTTGAGGTGAACATTTGATTAAAGTTTGAAGAAAATTCTTCCATTAGTATAGGATCTATAGAGCAGACACGACATATTGTCTAATATTTGATTGTATGTAAATTTGAAGACTTAAAAAGGGGCATAACTTTGTTAAAATGCAATACAGAGTTATGAAACTTGACAAGCATATCATAGTTGTGACACTTCATATATATTATAAGTTTCAAGCAAATACCTTTTCTAGTTTCAGAAATATTCAAATACTTGTTAAAATTTAAGAATATTTTCTAAGTCAATTTTTGACCTTCAAGTGTGACCTTGACCCTAAGCCGGCAAAATGGTGACATGGGTTCTGCACATAACCTTGTTGAGGTGAACATTTGAGCAAGATTGAAGAAAATCTTTCAATTAGTGAAGGACTTACAGAGCAGACACGACATACTGCCTTATATTGGATTGTTTGATATTTGACTTTCAATTGTGACCTTGACCTTAATCTGACACATGGGCAACATGGGTTCTGCACATCCCCTTGTTGAGGTGAACATTTGAGCCAAGTTTGAAGAAAATCTTTCAATTAGTGTAGGACTTACAGAGCGGACACGACATACTGTCTAATATTGGATTGTTTGATATTTGACCTTCAATTGTGACCTTGACCTTGAGCTGACACATGGGTAACATAAGTTCTGCACATCCCCTTGTTAAGGTGAACATTTGAGCCAAGTTTGAAGAAAATCCTTCAATTGGTATAGGATTTATAGAGCAGACACGAAAATGGAGACGGACGGACCAACCAACACGATTGGACATACAAAACAGTTTATAAAACTGCACAAGATACGGACATATGCTTTTCTCTCGTCGATTCGTGACTCTTATTTGGAAAAATAGCACTTGCACAACAAATATCAGACATACATACAGTTCAATTAGTGCATTTGTTAAATAAATTCATTATCTAAAAGTTCACAAACTTTAAATTACTTCTAAAAACAACCGCTCAAAGATTAGAGCAACTGAACATGTCAACCATGACTGTCTTGCTCAGCTGGACGCTTACCCATCCATTCGTGAAATCCGATTTACCCTGTGACGTCATCAAAATATAGGTGCTCACACCACTAAATGTTCGCATGGTTATTTTCAGCCCGATCTGATCAATATATGTTTCAAAGTCTTAAGTAAATTCTTACAGCATAATGAATATTTTTTTGGCTTAAGTGTAAGTGTGTTTGATAAATTAAAACATTAATATCGAATATTTTAAAGTAATTAGGTCGCCAGCTGATTGTAGGGTAAGGTCATTTACACCTGTTCAATTACGCATTTTGATTGGATAGAATTGTCAAATCGAGTGTCTAATAAAACTTGTGTAGTTTTCGGATAGTGTATGTCCTTGCAGAAGTATTTATACCAGACAATTATTTAGGTCACGAATCGATGAGAAGGCACGAATCGATGAGAATAAGGCATAGTTGAATTGTCTAGGACGTTTCCGTGACTTTCCGCTAATTATGGTACGTTACGGAACCATCCGATACAATACAAAAGTATACTTTTCCCGCGTCTAAATGACAAACAGTGCACGTCAAAATGAACACGTAACATAACAAATAATCAATTGACCCTGATAGACATTTTACAAACCTATAAAACAGCTGTTTCAAAACTGCAGTACCAAGGTAAACAAAAAAAACAAAATTTATTTTTGTATTATAAAATCAGAACTGCATTTGAAAATAACATGTTACTATAACATGTGTAACGTATTCATGAATTCATAGAACAGTAGTTTCTATTGTGTCTTCCAAACACAATGCTGAAATAGAAATCAGTTTTATATGGACTATAGCTGATGCTGTCAGCTTAAAAATAAAGGCATATACCTAAAATAATTAATTAAAAAGTATAAGCTCAATATTGCTAAAAATAAAGTATAGTCTCAATTTAACCCTTTACTTCATATAGACGTGCTTTTACGGCTATTCACCCCCTCCTTTTTGAGGTCTCAAATAGTCAAAAAAATTGCCCTATTTAGACCCAAAACACTTTTTCGTTTGAGAAATGGTGTTAAAAAAGTGATCACTTTTTCGGCGCAATCTCTTATCAAATTGATACATCAAGGGCGTGCCAGAAGGGGGATGTGCCCCCTTCTGTTTGGGGTTTTGAAAGGGGTCGGCAGACCCCCTCATCTCCAAGAAAATTTTGGACTTGTGTGAGGCTAAAAATGGCCCAAGGTCGACCTAAAGGTAACGTGTAACCAATGCTGAAAAACCCTTGACTCTATCTCAATCCATTGCAGCACTTTGAAATCAGTTTTGATGGAAAAATCAACGCAAAATAGTAATCCTTGTCAATTTTGAGATGTCCTCTCGTTAAGAACGTTACAAAGGCTAGTGTCCAGTCAGCATTCGTGCCAAGTTTGAACAGTATTGAAGCCTTTTTACGAGTATAGTTTCATAGCAATTTGAACTTGTAACAGGAGGATTTTCAATGAAAACGCCATTTTTAACGAAATGCTCATGAAGTAATGTGTTAACTGATTTTAAAGGTGTAGGCTCAATTTTGCTGAAAATAAAAAAATAAACTCGATTTAACTGAATTTAAAGGTGTAGGCTCAATATTGCTAAAATTAAAGGCATAAACCCAAAAAATAGCTGAAATTTAAAGATATTTGAAATTAATGCGAAAATACATATATAATTATCTCTAATGACTGATATCTGTACTTGGGGGCTCGGACCTAAGACCTAAATTATTAAAACACCTGAAACTTAAGATTCAGAATTAACATGAGAATTAGACCTAGAGAATTGTAAATGTTTTGAACTAGGTGTACCCATCCGAAAAGAAGACCAATAAGTATTATTAACACTAGGAGTACCATCACAAATAACATGAGAAATGTTAGATGGCTGACCAGGTCTAGCCAACGTAAAATGGGCTTTGGTACCGGTCTCCTCCGAGCTGGGATCATATACTTCTCAGTGATATCAGATTCGTGGCTTGAATCTGACTATGTCGAGCTGTCCGGATCTTTACAATCAACATACTGATATGATGTCGCGGATACTTTCCGAGTTGTTTGCCTGTTCTTTGGCGAGACTGTTTTAGGCGATTCTAACTTGAAATCCTCAGGGATACTGTGGAGACGCAATAAAAGATACCTTTGACATGTAGACTTAGCCCTTTATTCATTTGACATGTACACTTAGCCCTTTATTCCTTTGACATGTAGACTTAACTCTTTTTTTCTTTAACGTGTAGACTTAGCCCTTTATTCCTTTAGCGTGTAGACTTAACCCTTTATTCCTTTGACATGTAGCCTTAGCCCTTTATTCCTTTAACATGCAGACTTAACCCTTTATTCCTGTAACATGCAGACTTAACCCTT